GCCGTCTTCATCAGGAGAGCGCGCAGCCGCCGCTTCACGCCGACGGAGCTGCCAGGCGAACCCGCGGCGCGACGCCGACGGGCACGGCGAGGACGACGACTTAGAGGAGGTAGAGGTATCGATACCGCCACCCTTGCCTCGTGTTCGCCTTCTGTGGCCTCCTGGGGGGCCCTCGTCGCCACCGCTGGGGTCGCCTCGAAATGCTGGTCACAACGCACCCCTGGACAGGGACAGGGAGTGGTGGGATCTGTATCTTTTCGTGTCCACGACGACACCCACGGCGGCGGCCACGACGGGGAACGACCGCACGGGCGAGGACGAGGACGAGGGCTTCGATCACGGCGAGGACGGCAGCGACGACGGCCGACGGCGTGGAAAACAAGGGCGAGGACGACGGCGAGAATGACCGACGCGGACGACCGATGACGAGGACGAGGCCGAAGACTCGTCGACGACGACGAGGGCGAGAACGACCGACGACCGACGACGACGACAGACGACGACGGCGACGGCGACGACGGTGACGGCGACGACGACGGACGGCAGCGACGACGACGACGACGTTGGAGAGGCACGCCTAAGAGCTATTCGCCCCACCCCCTCACCCCTGCCTGGCGAAGTCCGGACAGGGAGGGGGTGCCAAGGGCTCTGCTTTGTCTGCAGGACACAGCCCGCACCTCGCAGGTCTTTTCTTGAAGGATCGGCGACGCGCAGATGGCGCGGGCCTTCTCAAAGAAGGGGGGGGATTTCTTCAGAAGAGCCCCCCTGCTTCTCAGAAGGCGCGGGCCTTCTCTGAAGATGCAGGGCCGGCGCCTTCTAAGAAGGAGACACCTCCTAAGAAGCCTTCCCCCCTCCCCCTACCGCCCTCTGAACGCCGCCAATGCAGGACGCATCCCGCATCTCGCAAGGTTGTGCCTTCAGGGAGGCATGGGCGGGAGGAGGGGCGAGCACGAGGAGGGAGGACGCGGCGGGCGCGGGGGAGTTTGCCTGGCAAGAAGGGAAGAGCAGGAGGAAAAGGGGGTGACGGAAAAAACGCAGAGGAGGAGAAGGAGGAGGAGGAGGAGGAGGAGGAGGAGGAGGAGGAGGGAGGAGGAGGAGGAGGAGGAGGAGGAGGAGGAGGGAGGAGGAGGAGGAGGAGGAGGGCGAAACGAGGCAACGGAAGTTGGCCTGCCGGGCGGGGCCCCCGTCGCAACGGCCTGGGCGCAGCTCGGAGCGCCGCTGCGCCTCGGCCCCGGGAGGGGCCCGGGGACCGACTCCGAGCTGCCTTGGTCTCGACTCGCCCTGCTTCGCGAGCGCGAGGAGGGGGAGAGGCAGAGCCCCGAATTATCAGGGGTAACTCGGGTCAGGGATAACTCGGGTTCCTTTTTCGGGACTCCAAACCCGAGTTACCCCGGACCCGAGTTACCCCGGATAACTCGGGCGTCCAGGGCCCCGAATCATCAGGGGTAACTCGGGTCAGGGCTAACTCGGGTTCCTTTTTCGGGAATCCGAGCCCGAGTTACCCCGGACCCGAGTTACCCCGGATAACTCGGGCGCCCAGGGGGCGAGAGCGCAAGCAGGAGAGCCCAGCTCGCCCCCACGGGCGCGAAGATGCCCGCGCTTCGCTCGTCGTGGCCCCGGCAGGAGCCAAGGGAGGAAACAACGGCCGGACCCGACCATCGGCGTTGATGAACCGGCCCTGGGCGTTTGCTGAGCAGCCCTGCCCTGTTCGATTCCATCTGTGGGTGCGTTTCCTCAACGGCTTCGCGTGTCGGGGTGGTTATGATAGGGGGGTGGGGTTTGACCTCTAGAGAGAGCCTCCCTCCTCCAGGGTGTCCTCACGGGGACGCGAAGATGAGCGCGCGCCGCACATCGCTGGGCGCGATGCGCGAAGTGGGTGGCCCGCCCCCCCCCCATGCACGCTGGTCGTTGAAAGCAGGTATGCGTGTATCCCCGGATCCTCATTTACCTCAAGCGCCTTCCTGCTCTAAGCGTCGAGATGCTTGGGCTGTGTTCGGTTGCTCTCTGGGGGCCTAGACCCAATCTACTGTACCCGCCTTCCTACTTCATGGTTCTACGCGCTTCTTTCCGACCGACGGACGCTGCTCCCCTTTTAATCAGGAGGGGAAAAAACACAGACACAATTAATCGTCGATCTCCAGGAAAATATACAAAAATATGGGAATTGGGGGGGAAGACAAACACCCAGAAAATAGGAGAAAATATGGGGAATATTTTTATTTGTGTGTATTTATTTGTGGGTTCTGGGGCCCCTTTATTTTAATCCGGGCCCATGGCCGAGCCCACAGGGCGCACGTGCCGACTCCTGGCCAGAGGAGGAGCGAGGGGACCTGAAGTGACGTGCATTTGGAGGGTTTCGCCCCCTGCTGCCAGTCGACTCGCCGCTGCGATGGCCCACCTGCGCCTGCAGTGCGCCGCCCTTCCTCGAGGAAGGCGCAAGCGGGACGGAGAGGATCGCGCGGGCCCTGGTAAATATTTCAGGGTGATTTATTTGGAGGGCTCTGGAATGGCCGCGCCGCGAGAATACATCCCCCAGAATCGCCAGATCTCAGCGATCCTCGATCTGTCCCGGTCCGACCTTTTCTCGGCGTTGGCCTCGTTTTCTGAGGAGAAGAGTCGGTGGTCCCCCCGAAGGGTGTGGTGACCACGCTGTGTGGTGAGTCAGCGGGGAGTCGGGGTCGCAGCGCGGTTTGGGAAGTCGTGAAGGAAGTCTCGGGCAATTGGGGCCCCCGGGGTCTAAAAATCTCGCAGTGACGGACCGCGCGATGACATGCCGATGGCGACCGAAAACGCACGAGGTGCCCCGACGACTGCACCTTGGGCCTTGTGCACCTCGCAGCGAAATCTGCTTCGCGTGGGCGCCCCAGTCCCAAGGCGTCCCAGGCGACCCCATCGGATGCTGGGCGACCCCAATCGCTGCCACGGCGAGCGCGTTTCCAAGAGTGCGACGGAGGAAAACGGGTTCGGCTGCGCGGACATGCGCGCGCGAGCTGCCAACGTGGGGTCGCGCGCGAGCGCCCTCTTTTCAGCGCAGCGCGCCGCGCTGGCGGCCCGAGTAAGCCGCCGCGTAAGGTCGCTACGGCAGGTTCGCGTCGTGCCGACCGGCGGCGACCCCGCCGCGTGCGTTTAAGGTTGAACTCCGCCCGTGGCCCAGAATCGGCCCGGCGTTGAACGATCTGGCGTTCACGGAACGGCCGATCGCTTTGGATTCTAGTCTGAACGATCCCCGCGATGTCGGGAACCAGCGTCGGGGTCGACGCGACGCCGACCTGCCGCACGCCAGCTCGCGCAGGACCCGATCCTTCTCTCAGGTCAGGTCTCCTGGGGCGTCGAGGCCGCCGCGCGGCCCGCCGCCGCGCGGTCGCGGGGCCCCGAGGAGGAGGATGAGGAGGAGGAGGAGGAGGAGGAGGAGGAGGAGGGAGGAGGAGGAGGAGGAGGAGGAGGGAGGAGGAGGGAGGGGGAGGAGGAGGAGGAGGAGGAGGGGGAGGAGGGAGGAGGAGGAGGAGGAGGGGGAGGGGGAGGAGGAGGAGGGAGGAGGGGGAGGAGGAGGAGGAGGAGGAGGAGGAGGAGGAGGAGGCGCTGCGCACGGCGGAGCGGGCGTCGCGGAGCGGCCCCGCCCCGTCCCCCCTGGGGGAGCCGGGGGGGGGGCTCGGCGGCGGGCGCGCCGGGGCCTCGGGGTTCTCGACGCGGGCAATAAGTTTCGTCTCCGTTGCGCGCGGGGCGCCCATGGTCCAACAACTCCTCCTTAGTCTCTTTTCGTGTCGTCGTCCTCCTCCTCCTCCTCCTCCTTTGTCTTCCTCGTCCTCGTCCTCCTCCTCCTCCTCCTCCTCCTCCTCCTCCTCCTCCTCGTTTCCTCCTCAACGTTCGTCTCCTGGTGTGCGGGCGATCCCGCGGGCCCTCTGCGCGTGGGTTCCGTGCTGCAGCAAGGCAGCACCGCAGGCAGGAGGGAGAAGACGGAGGCGAAGCAAGACGAACGTGGAACACGTGGGTTCCGCTCGAGCACTGCCGCATGGCCCTTCAGCGGCGTTTCGCATGGGGGGCTCAGGCGGGGGACGTGTTCGGCGCGCGGTGCGGGGCGGGGCCGGCGCGGCCGCTTCAACTTCCAGGGTGTGCCCATGGGCGTGCGCGGCGTTGTTCGCGCGGCCGCTCCTGCCCCCGAGCGCGCGCCCGCGCGTTCCAACGGGCGCGCCGTCTCGGGTGCCGCAAACACACGGCCTTACGTCGGGCCTGTCCCTCTACAGGAGGGATATCCAGAAATAGTCAAAAGATAGTCGGGGAACCATCGTTTGAGTATTTGTTGGGCACTGCTGAGCATTTTTGGAGATTTTTTATTCCCAACCCTCCTTGGTTGGGTATTCATTTTGAATAAGGGACTGTGGTCTCCACCTTCCTTCCTCCCGCCTCCCTCCCTCCTCCTGCGTCCTGCTTCCTGCTTTATTCCCAACCCTCCTTGGTTGGGCATTCGTTTTGAATAGAGCACTGCTCGCGCGTCTCCTCCCGCCTCCCTCCTGCCTCCTGCCTGCCTCCTCCTGTCTTGCCTGCGGGGGGCTGCGATCTGTGAAACTGTCGCCACTTTCGAGGCCTGCTGGGGGGCCCAGCACAGTGACGCCACGCGCGGACCAAAATTAGACCTCGCCATCCCTGGGGGGCTTCGATCTGCGAAACTGTCGCCACGTTCGAGGCCTACTGGGGGGCCCAGCACAGTGACGCCACGCGCGGACCCAAATCAGAACTCGCCATACCTGGGGGGCTGCGATCTGTGAAACTGTCGCCACTTTCGAGGCCTGCTGGGGGGCCCAGCACAGTGACGCCACGCGCGGACCCAAATCAGACCTCGCCATCCCTGGGGGGCTGCGATCTGTGAAACTGTCGCCACTTCCGAGGTCTGCTGGGGGGCCCAGCACAGTGAGGCCACACGCAGATTCAAATTAGACCTCGCCATCCCTGGGGGGGCTGCGATCTGTGAGACTGTCGCCACGTTCGAGGCCTGCTGGGGGGCCCAGCACAACGGCTCAGTGAGGCCACGCGCAGACCCAAAGTAGACCTCGCCATCCC